GAAAACACAATGCTTCCAGTTGTTAATGGAGCAAGCACAGGTTCAAAGGAAGATTAGGAACAGGTTCATACACAGGGGTAAATGTAAAAGCAAACTGGCAGCATTAATACCCTTTAAAATTTCCTGTACAACAAACACAGATGTTCATCACAGAAGACTGGCAGATCTGTGTGTGCTTCTTAAAGAGCATCTGCTACCACCCCTGGGCCAGATGGGTCACTGGTCTGATTCAGGAGGGCATTTCTAAGGCTCATAATCCTATCCTCCTTCTAAAGGCTATACAATGCAGTGCTAAATACCAAATATAGCCAGTGACTACCAATAAATGTTCACATACCTGCTTAGTAATATAGTACCCGTGGATTTACGAACTTGAAAGGTCTTCTCCAAGTAAGATATAGCTTGTGGAAAAAGTTTGTTCTAAACAGAACAAAAAAACCTAAGTCACCCAGCAGCAGTGCAGGCATCAGCCACCTTACATGCATTAACTCCCAAGTTACATGAAACTTGCTATGGTACAGCAGAATAGTGGAAATCCAAACTTTCCAAGAAGTTCAAGTGTTATCAGTGTAATTTTAAAATGCTTGTTTCAGATGTTTGTTATGAGAGGGACAATAGAAAAAGGAAGCCAGTATTGATTTGAAAGTGCAGCTTCAAAGAGGCTGAATTGATTTCAGCTCTGAACTTACTGGTGCTGGGAACTGTCCATCAAATTTTAACAGGCACTCCTGCCTCTCTGCAATCCTCAGGGCTGACTGCTGCACTTTTTTACTCCTTACTTGCACAGACTCTCAACAGAAGCCAGGAGATATATTTAAAATACCCTTTATGGTATAAAAACAACCTCTGAAAACTGTATGAGCATTGCTCAGTGAATCTTTGCAAATCAGAATATAGCAAGCAGCTGTCAAACAACACTCAGCAGAACCTTGGAAGTGTTTGGAATCCAGGCATTATCTGTACACAAAGCCCTGGTCTCCTCCTTAACTAGAGGATATGGAAATGCCGGTATTCAAAGCCTTTAAAGAAAGACTTGGAACTGGCAAAGCCTTAGGGTCATCCACATAATGAAATACATACAAACAAAAGAGGGAAGCAAATGAGACGTACCTTTATAAGGTGTCTTTTCTCTGGCAGCAAGCTACATTGAAATGGAATAAAACATGCAAGTTAACAGGGTTTGCATTCTCAGATACGGAGAGAAGTCACCACAGAATTATACTCACTCCTCAACACTTCGATCATATATAATCTTAATCCTCAGCTGCTGATCCACGTTTCTCTTCAAGACACGGTTCTCCTTGAGAGGAACCTGATAGAGCACCTGGCAGGGAGAGGAACACGCGGCTGCAGGAGCAGCGGGGCCTGCCCGCAGCCCCTCGCCCCTCCGGCCCGCCAGAGCCCCTTCCTGCCGCGGTGCAGCGGGGCCCCTTCCCGCCCGTCCCCTCGCACCGCTCCCCGGGCCCTCAGGCCCGCCCGGCCCGGCCCGTGCGGGACAGACCCCGCAGCCACC